TATAGATATGATGACCGGTGCGCTAATACCACGTGTAGCCCCTCTTTGAGGAGTGTCATACCGGGTATTGCATTGATGTGATCCATATTACAAACAAACCTAGGACACCCCTTTTACATTCATAATCATGCTTTAGATTGTAATTCTTTTCAAAAAATTCCGCCTTTCGCTAATTGTTTTCAAATACTTGTATATTTAAACTCAAATCCCCTACTATTTGAGCCATACTTGTTTATTTTCTAATTGCACAAATTCACAAAAAATGTCTGGTCAGGAACCATACTAGTGGATCCTGAGGGGTGCCTAACACCTTCCCCTTAGGATAATTTCAAGCCCTTACCATATCTTTGATTACCAAAAGGTAGTTGTAGATGAACCTTATAGGTTCCCTAACACACCTTAAAATCATTAGGTGGCGAATCTTCAAAAATGCAAACCCCCTTTCCGAAAAGGAATGAGTTGTCCCATACCAAAATGTCATGAACCCGATTTTCGCGAAAGGGGAAAAAGGGGTCGCGACAATAGAAACAAATGAAAAACATGATAAACTGAAGTAGTAAAAGAAACATATTAGTTTTGAGACTTGAATTGAAATCAGAATATACCAGTAGAGAGATGGTAAACATAAAGTGAGGAATATGAAAGCACATTAGTTAGCCTTGGCTTGCAGCCGGCTAACTCAGAATAATAGCAAGTAACCAAAGAGATAGCAGAAAGTCTTGAGTGTGAGAGAGCTTTTTGAACCAATGTGTTTGTGTGTTTGTGTTAATGAGAGAGTATGTATATATAGTAGTTCGAAACTAGGTAAAATAAGGCAAGAATCACAATAGTATAGTAATTATGGAACTCAGAACCAGTCAGAGCAAAATCAGTACAAGTACTCCTTTAATTTAAGGGAATCAGTTCAAACGGTAAGAACAAGTAACAAATAAGAAAAGAAATCAATGCACGACCAATAAAGAAAGATTTCAAATACAGTAAGTATAGGGTAAACAATTAGGGCTAAGTTCAGAAAACTCTAATTAAGGAGATAGTCAGTAAGAATAAAGTACCAATGCAGACAAGGTAGGCGAATCAATTAATTTGAATAGAAAGGGTAGGAATCGAAGGTTTAAAGGAAGGTCTTCCAATCAAACCATGAAATAGGGAATCCAGAATCAATCAAAGAGAAAGTCATGAGTCAGTGTTTAGCATATAAATAGAGTAACATAAGAATAACCAGATATAGCAAACATGAAGGTTAAACAACACTGATAGAAAGAGACAAGTCTTGAACAGTCAAGATGAACACAAGCACATAGAGTTGATATAAGTTAGGCTAAAAAACTTAGTAGGAACATATTCGAGGCAAGATAGTCACAGAAACTCAAACAAGAACCGGTCAGTCATGCTAATACACAGAACCAAACGAAGAAACCTAAAAAATTAGGGATTTCAACATAGACGAGTTGAAGGGATAGTAAAATCATAGAATCAGTCAAAAATATGCAAGAAATAGAAGTTTAAACACAAAGAATCAGTTAAACAAAGTTTTAAAAGAAGTTCTGAAACCCTAATTTTTAGAAGAAGGTGAAAAACATATGAAATCAACGATTCTTGTAAAGAGTTCTAAGGACAATGTAAAATATTAAAGAAACAAACTCAAAAGAAACCCATATAGAGATGAAAAAACCTGTCTAGAATCCCAAGAATCATAACAAATACAGCATGATTTTGCTCAAAATCACACTGGAGTAGCCAAGAACAGACAAGTGACGAACCCTAGATGCAAGTCAGCATGGCCCTGGGCCCTTGAAGACCTTAGAGAAGGCAAGTGTGGCATGAGAGGAGCCATTGGAGGCTTAAGAGACGATGAGAGGTCACCGGAGATGACCGAAGAAGAGAGGTTGGCAGTTGAAGAGCTAGGGTTAGGTTGAGAGTGTTTTGAGAGAGGAGAGGATCTAAGGGCGGCGGATGTGGGAAAATGGTTAGGGTTGGGGGGTTGTTTGGAATAAAAAAGGCGGAACGAGGGTCGTTGATCCAGGATCTGATGGGTTTTGGGTCGGGTAGGTGCATTTAGGGCCTGGGTCGGTTATTTAATCCAAAATTGGGCTGGAGTATTGGGTTTAATTGAGGCTAAAATTGAAATGCAATCTGGCTAGATTTTAAATAGCCAATTTATCCCCATATAATTTATAATAAATAATATATAATTTCTAAAAAATAAATTTTGTGTACTAAAATGATTAAAAATAGATATTTAACATTTTAAAAATATAGAAGATCAATTTTATGCATATAAATATAATTATACATTAATAGGACTAATATTGTAATTATATGCAAATTAGTTTTAAAAATATAAATGTAATTATAAAAATACACTAAAAAATATTTTAACAATATTTTGGCATAAATATAGAATTTAAATGACTAAATTAACTTAAAAATAATTTGAGGGATAATTATTGGGGATTGTATGAGTAACAAAAGGGAGGAAATAAATCAATTTAAAATGTTTAAAATTATAAAAAAATTATAAAAACCTTGTACATGCTTATATATGCATATGCATGCTATTTTGAAAGTATTTATGCATGTTAAAAATATATAGAGAAAAATTGGGAATCAACACTAACTTTTACAATGTGGGTACCTAGTTTCAGCATCTCATAGGGTCCGACTCACATAATAGACAGGAAAATGCGTACCTTTATCTTTTCGAACCAACACGCCACTTACTGCCACCTCGGACACGGCTAAATACAAGTAGAGTGTTTCATCCTTCTTTGGAGTATGGAGAAGGGGTGGGCTTGAGAGATACCGTTTTAATTCTTCCAAGGCTTGTTGGCACTCTAGAGTCCATGCGAAGTTGTTCTTCTTCTTGAGTAGGGAAAAAAATGAAGGCTCTGATCTGATGTCCTCGAGATAAATCGACCTAGGGCAGCTATCCATCCGGTCAGTCGTTGTACGACTTTCACATCGTTCACTACGGTGATTTCCTCGATGACTTTGATTTTATTGGGGTTGATCTCGTACCCCTGATCGACACCATGAAGCCCAAGAACTTGCCCAAGCCGACTCCAAAAGTACATTTCTTGGGGTTGAGTTTCATGGTATACTTTCTTAGGATATCGAACGTCACCTGCAAATGGGTCAAATGGTCCTCTGCACGTAAGGACTTAACTAGCATGTCATCGATATAAACTTCCATGGATTTACCTATTTGATGTTCAAACATCTTATTAACTAGGAGTTGATATGTGGCTCCAGCAGTTTTTAGCCCGAAGGGCATTACATTATAACAATACGTACCATACTTCGTGATGAATGAAGTCTTTTCCTGTTCCTCCAAGTTCATTTGAATTTGGTTGTACCTGGAGTAGGCATCGAGAAAAGTAAGGATCTCGTGGCAGATCGTAGCATCGATTAAACGATCGATGTTAGGTAATGGAAAAGAATCTTTAGGGCATGCTTTGTTCAAATCTTTGTAGTCTACACACATTCTAAGTTTATTACCCTTTTTAGGGACTACCACTACGTTAGCTAGCCATTTGGGATATTTTACTTCCCTAATGGATCCTATCTGAGAAGTTTGGTTACCTCTTCTTTGATGAATGCATGTTTTACCTCGGACTGAGGTCTCCTCTTTTGCTTCACCGATTTAAATTTAGGATTGACACTTAGTCGATGGGTAGTTACCTCCGGTGGGATCCCTATCATATCTAAGTGGTACCAGGTGAAGCAATCAATGTTATCGATAAGAAAATGAATGAATTTTTTCCTAAGTTCACGGGTTAACCCCATCGCCAAATATACCTTTCGTTCCGGAAGATACTCGATTAATATGGTCTGCTCGAGTTCTTCGACTGTGGACTTCGTCGCATCCGATTCCTCTGGGGCAACAAAGGCTCGGGGGGTGAGGAAATCTTCTTCTTCGTCCTCGACCACCTGTTCATCGAACACCTGTCCCTCGGGCTCAACCGAGGGTATGGGCTGTGATTGCTATTTGGTCATCTGTTCGTCCTTTGACTTTTCTGATGTGGATGGTGTTGATACCAGTGCCACGTCGTGTACTGAAAACATCTCCTTAGCTGCATGTTGCTTTCCAAATACTATTTTCACGTCGTGCTTTGTTGGGAACTTCATCATTTGATGAAAGGTCAATGGCACTGCCCTCATGCTATGGATCCACGGCCTTCCAAGCAAAGCATTATACCTCATGTCACTTTCGATGACATGAAATTTGTATGTCTTGTATGGTTCCAGCCATGTTGACTGGGAGGATGATTTCTCCCTTCGTTATTTCACTTGCCATGTTAAAGCCATTCAAGACTCGAGATGTTGGTATGATTTGACCGAGCTACCCGAGCTGCTCCACAACCCTTGACCTGATTATATTTGCCAAACTACCTGGATCCACAAGAGAACACATTTAACTTGAACTTTATTTAAAAGGATAGAAATTACCAGTGCATCGTTGTGAGGCTGATATAAGGCCTCGATGTCTTCCTCGCTGAATGTGAGGGTGTCCTCGGGCATGTAGTCTCTAATTCGTTTCTCCATTGTGATGGATACTTTGGTACGTTTGAATATAGGTCCCTGTGGGACGTCGACTCCACCGATAATCATATGAATGACCTATTAAGGTTCTTCAGGTTCATTCTTCCTATGTGCATCTCTTTCTCGGAAATGGTTCTTGGCCCGTTCGCTGAGAAATTTATGAAGATGCCCCTCATTAAACAACCGGGCTACCTCATCTCTAAGGTTCCTGCAATCCTCAGTCCTATGCCCATGAGTACCATGATATTGCACATCAAATTGGGGTTCTTCTGAGAAGGATCGGTCTGTATAGGCTTGGGCCATCTAGTAGCTCTAATTTTGCCAATGGCTGAGATGATACCCGAGGCATCGATGCTGAAGTTGTATTCCGATAATTAGGGTGCCTCCGCCGGTCCCGAGTGCCTATCAAACCCGGTTTTGCTCATGAGTCCTCGGGATCTTTGACCTCGATCTGCTATTCAATCATCCCGAGGTATGTTACGCCTTGAAATGTTCCTTCTATCCTCGACGTATGGCTGATATCTTTCCTTATTCGATCTTGACCCCCTGTTTGCATTTCCTGACTCCTTTGCTAGTAACCTGCTTGGATAAACTGAGCCCGAGGGGGCTCCCAAATGGTCAGCCTCGACCCTAATTTTTGATTGGTACCTGTTATGCACATCCGCCCAAGTCATGGCGGAATACTCAATCAAGATTTGCTTCAGCTGCTTTGAAGCTATCGAACTTCGTTCATTTTGCCCATATGTGAAGGCTTGCACGGCCCAGTCATAGGAGACTAGTGGTACCTCCATTCGTTCTGACTGGAAATGGGATACAAACTCTCTCAGCACCTCGTTCTCCCTTTGATTTATTTTGAATACATCGGACCTCCTTGTTACAACTTTTATGGTACCGGCATATGCCTTTACAAATAAGTCTGCCAACATGGCAAACGAATCAATAGAGTTCGGGGGTAAGTTATGGTACCAAATCATGGCACCCTTAGACAGAGTTTCCCTAAACCTTTTTAGCAAAACAGACTCAATCTCATCATCTTCCAAATCATTTCCTTTTATGCCACAAGTATATATAGTGATGTGCTCGTTGGGATTAGTGGTCCCGTTGTATTTTGGGATGTATGGCATCCGAAACATCTTCGGGATGGGCTTCGGAGCCGCACTCTGGGGGAATGGTTTTTACACGAACTTATTCGAGTCCAGTCCTTTCAAAATTGGAGGTGCTCCCGGTATCTGGTCGACCCTTGAATTGTATGTCTCCACCTTTTTGTCATTTTCTTTAATCTTCTTTTCTACGCATCAATCTTTTTAGCGAGATCTTCGAGTATCCTCATGATGGTGGGGTCAGTCCTCGAGTTATTTCCGTTTGATCTCTCCGGTTCTGGTTCAGCGGGCTGAATATTCTCATGTTCAGCTATGATCGGGGTCTTATTTTGACTTTGAAGTTGAACGATGGTGATTTGTTGAGCCTGTGGCATCTCAAATATCACTTGGAGGCGGATCCCCTATCTTCCATTCCTCGTGCTCTTTGGTCACTAGATCAAGCTTCCTACGTTCATTCCCTATGGGATCTGTGCCTGAGTCCCGCGTTTGGAGCATTATGTGAATTGATATCAATTGGCTCCATATTTGGCACTTCCTCAGGGTTGATTAGTGGTACATTGACCCCTATGCTACTGTTTTCTCCATGGGATCTGAGAACGTTGTTTCCATGCACGGGTGCGTTTGCAAAGCTAGACATATCTTAGCCTGAAATCAAAGAATCATTGACAAGAAGAAGTGTGAAGAATAACGTGTGTTATCAGAAAACTAGCACTAAAATAATTACTATTATCTTTAGCCCCACGATGGGCGCCAAACTGTTTACCTCGAAAAATGTGAGTAACAATTAAATATGATTTATGGTTTTAAAGATATGTGATTTATTCCAATACTAGTGAATATACAAATAATATTAGGTTTAAGTAAGAAGAATTGATGAACCAAACCAGTGTTGTTAGAGAAATGGGGACCTCGAGCTCGATTATCTCGGGGGCCTCGAGGTAAGTTAAAGTATAAACAGTAAAATAAAAACAATAAAGCTAAAGAACAATTGTGGAGCATAGTACACGAGAAAAGCAGAGTAGAATGTTCTATTGCAGTGAATGAGATGATCTTTATAAATGATTGGAGTCCCCTTTATATAGTAGGGGAAAACCCTAATATGGTATATTCCCAATTATGGTAAAGAATTCTATTGGTGTTGTCACACCTCCTTTTTTACTACACCTCGTAAAGAGTATAAGGATAAGGGAGTTTTTTAAATTAAAGGACAATCGAAATGGGATTTATTTATTTTAAGATCAGAGTCGCCACTTGGGATAATTTATGGTGTCCCAAGTCTCTGGTTTAATCCTGAATCGAGGAAAAGTTTGACTCTATTTAACAGTCCACGAACCAGAAATCCGAGTAAGGAATTCTGTTAACCCGGGAGAAGGTGTTAGGTATTCCCGAGTTCCGTGGTTCTAGCACGGTCGCTCAACTGCTATATTTAGCTTAATTATCTGAGTTTAGTACATGTTCAAACATATGTGCATTTTCAATCTTAGCCGCTTTTTATTCATTTTTAGAAACATTGCAATGTTGTTAAAATATGTCGTGAACCACGTCACATAAATGCACCCGCGGCGTTCGACATATTTTAACATTGTCGAGATTTGGATTTGGATCACATAAATGCGCACCCGAATTCAGGAAAAGTACTTTTATTAAAACAACGCGCCTATAGCAACTACGCATTTTTAGCTTCGCGAGGGCCATGGAAAGTTTGCTAAATGACATACTTCGATTTCTAAAGGATTGCAATTAATTAAGTGAAGGCCCTAAATTATACATCCGGCTAGCAAGACACGCTTCGAATTAACTACAATGATCCACTAATTGAGTAAGGCTTGAACGAATTGCAGCTACTCCTAGACTACGGTTAAATTCGAATTGTTGATTTAAGAGCTAGTACTGGATGAGGCCTAATCTATTTTCATTTCAGAGCATGAGCCTGACCCGAGGTCCAATAGCTAATAACCACGGCGAACATGGAGACCTGATTGGGCTAGACATGAAGCCCAAATCAAGAGCTTAATATGAAAGGGAACTGGGCGCAAAAAGGATCCAGGTTGATAGTAGACTCAGTGTTACTGCACTTGAGGTCATCTTACACTGCCCCTACAACTTCGGCTTTGAACCAAATATATTTACACACGTTAAACAATTCAAAATAATAACCTTACCAATTCAAAACGATTCAAACTCGCACACCCTGTTAGTTTCGAAAGCAAAGAAGGAACTATGCCTTAATCCAATTTAAAATCTTACCAACTAAAATACCATAATTAAATTAAGATTCAGCAGTTATTGCTGACTTACGACAATATATGAAAGGAGAAATACACCCATTTAATTTCCAAGTTCTAACATACTAACGAGCAGCCATAGACAAACAAAGCAAAACAAAGCACATTTAAATCCGGAGAACACCGATGACTTCAACTTTTAACACATGCTTAATCTTAACTACGATAACATTAGCATAACATTCTAATAGATCTGCAATTTTAAAAAAAATAATGTTCACGGATCTTAAAGTTGATGGCCAGTTCTAATAGCAGCAGAATCCAGGAGTTAAACAAAAAAAATTAACACACACTACATAAGAGTCCTACTATAGTAATAACATAAACCCAAGACACACTGAAAGAGAAAAAGAAAACAAAAGCCATAACATCTAATAACACCCTCTTTACTTTTCTTCAAAAAACACTCTTTGAACCATGGCTTACATGCTTTAGAAATCAAGAGTATGTACCTGGAAATTGAAACAGGAAAAGGAATAGTGAGGGATCAGCAGAAACAGTAAAGTAGAATTCAGCAGCGAGAGGTGATCAACAACCCAATTTCAAACTTAGGAAATGATATACAGCAGCCCAGAAATCAGTTTTAGTTGAACAACAACCTAGATTCAACCAACTTTCAATGAAATTGACTCAAATTCAATGAAACAGTGGTTAAAACACAAAATTTTCCCCAGACTTTTCGACAAGAAACAGACTCAGGCCATTTATCACACTTGAATGAACCACGGATTGCCTTAACAAGTTGAAATTCCAAAATTGGAACCAATGGAGCAGTCCCAATGTAGCCGTCCCTATTTCTCTATTTTTAGTTCTTCCTCCCTAGGTCTTGGGTCTGCCTTAAAAGGCAAGAAAAGCTGCCTTTATAGGCAAGTTATTAGGGTAGCTAGATGAGGATCAGATTTGCAAATATACCCTTTTGCAATTTTTATTTTAGCTTAAACACCCCTAGTTTAAATTCAGTTTTTGCAAAGTAGTCCCCCCAACTTCCTAGAAGCTTCCCAAACAGTTGCAAATAGATTCCCTCATTAAGACTACCCAAACTAACCCCCATACCCCTGTTATTTACCTTAGCCTACCCATTGATTCAAATTAACTCATGGTCTAATTAACTAGACCCTCTAACCAGGTCAAAGATGACCATAGTTACTCGTTAGGGCTCGAAACACTCAGAAGTGACCAAATGAACCAAAGAAACTAATAAATCAAAAATTCAGGGAAGACACAATTACTTTCTGATTTTAAGCTTGAATTATTTTAATTACCAACTCAGCATTGAACTCCTACTGTAAATCAACAATCAAACAAAGAAAACAAAATAAATGTAATTAAAATAGCAGTGACAGGAAATACTATGGGGTAAAGGAAAATGAGTAAGAATAAAGAGAGGGGGGACAATCACGAATTTACAACACAAACGATGAGGGACGGGGACGAGATAAGAAAAATTGGACGGAAAAGCTAAGGAGACTCACTGATTCAAGCCTTGAACTTGACTGAACCCCCGATTAGATCTCCAAATAACACCAATCGCTTGTGCTTGGTTAAGAACAAGCAAATGATGTTATTTCGGGATAAAATTGGCCCTCAATAACCTTGCATGCATTGGTCAAGTTTGGGCTTCTAAGGCTCAACCTTAGATTCAATATTCAACATATTCCAGACATATTCGAGGGGAATGAAGCGTGGATTTGGTACAAGGGGGTCATGGTGGTTCTATGGCGTCAATTTGGTGGTGAACAGAGGTGGTGGCGCCACCGGAGGAAATGAGGGCGGCCCTAGGGTTTGTGACTTCAACCTCAGATTCGAGGGATTCTGAGTGTGTTCGAACGAAGTTGGTTATGGATTGGGATTGTGGAAGGGATGAGGAGTTTAAGGTGTGAATATGGTGGTCATCGGAGGTGGCGCCACCGGCCTAAGGTGGTGGGAATTAGGGCGGCTCTCCAGAGTTTAGCTTGGGGACGATGAAGTATAGGAAATGAGGGGGTGAGAGATTCGGACACTTATATTTGAGACAGGGTCAGTTACGGACCGTTTGATCAACTGAGATCAACGGTCCAAATCAAAGAGGACGAAACGATGCCGTTTTGGTTATGAAGGCTGGACTGGGTATTAGGGACAGGTTTTGGGCCGGGTAAAGGGGTAATTTGGATGGGTCTACGGGGAAATTAGTCTGGGCCTAGGGACATGGCCCGATTTGGCCTAAATTTTCCTTTTTCATTATTTCCTTCTCTTTCTTCTTTTTTTTTCAAATCATTTTTCTTTAAAAATTCTTTTTCTTTTCCCAAAATTTAAAATTAAATCCTAAACCCAATTATCCTACCATATTAAATTAATTAACCCTAATAATTATTACTACAAATAATTAAAAACCAAATTAAAGGGAAAAACTACCAAAATTCAAAATTAAAATTGAAAGTGCAAATAAACTATTTTTGTGATTTTTTCCCATTTTTATAAAAGAACTAATTTGTCAATTAATCCTAAAATGTAAAATTAAATCCCAAATGCAAATGCAACATATTTTTGTATTTTTCATTTAGTAAAATAAACATGCACAGACAAATGCAAACAATAACAAACAAAAATCTATGAAATTGCAAACAAATGGAAAAATTATTTTGTTTTGAATTTATGGGAGTAATTCATATAGGGCAAAAATCACGTGCTCACAACTACCCCTCTTTGCGCGGAAATACAGAGAGTTTTCATGCAAAGATAAAGTGAGCGGATACGAGCGATTTTTGCCCG